TTCTATATCCGCATATAATCATTGTTTTGAATCATTGCATTTTAGATATTGTAAAGAATTAATGTTTTTATAGTGTATTTATAGTCTAAGTGCAATTATTCATTTTAACTGTATTAATATCCAATTTTAATATAATAACTGTGTCTTTAGTAGTAAGCTGTAATATAAAAGTTAACAATGACATTCAGAATATTAGAGACTTATGAGATCTAAGTATTTTATACTTCTTCTCCACTATAAATTTTTTAAGTTGACAATGTATGAAATATAAGCATTTGTATGTTCTTTGGGTTTTTGTATACTGAGTTTAAAATGTTTGAATTTTGCATTAGTAAATTCATGTTGACAAATGTCGTCACTTATCAATCACAACAGTATAATATAATCATTATGTATGATATATCTTCTTTATGTATTGAATTGTAAACTTTATATGTAACTTGCTAAATTACTTGCTAGGGTATTGAATTGTAATCTTATGTGTCACTTGCTAAGGTTTTGCTCGTAAGCACTGTGTTCACACATATGTAACCATTTTTAATATCTATGTTTTGTAACACTAATCAATGTGCCCTATGAGTGGATCTCGTGTGGCTCTAACATGAGTCAGCTTTAGATAAGGGTGGACGTGGCGCTAAACCAATTAACCATAATGGTAAAGGGGTGGTGCCCACGTCCTCCGTCACTAAACTAAACTAAACTAAACTACATAGTTACAACAGGCAAATGTTCTGGTTTAAGAATGTTGAACTTTATTTGAGTTGGCAAGATTGGAATTTTGTCACTGTTAGTTCATTTCGCAGCTTCGTTGCAGATTAGTGGTCTTGGAGCACTACACAAAGGTGCATTGAGTTTTGATTGTGAAAACTCTTTACAAGAATGGTAAGCATTGCCCATAGATTGTTGGGAAGCTTAGTGTTATGTTTTGATGTGAAAATGCACTTAATGAATTAACAAATCGCAGACTGATACAGAAATTTTAAGACACAAGTTCGACAGCAGACATTAAATCAACACGCTCTGGATCCAGCCAGTTTGCTGAAAACATCGCTATTGTGCATGACAGCGTTATTGCAAATTTCAAAGAACTTAAAGAGTGAAAATAAAAGAACTTAAAGATGATACTGAACATTTCCTTAATCATCTCGATAGACAGATATGTGAGAAAGAGGTAAGAAATTTCATCCAGAGATTACGGCACTGCAGGTTAAGTTAATTAATTACGGCAAAGCCTCGAGGGCTATCTGATTAAGGGAAGGGAAGCTTTCGTGGAGGACTTTCTAAGGGAAACTGGCTCGTATACACGTTACACATGGGGAAAACCACGAAAACACTCATGCAGCCAGCCCGTTCGCGTACGGCACTGCAGAACAAGTCATGGAGGAAATAACGCCAGACATCAGTTTTTTATTCTTAAATCGAAACATTTACTTGTCTTGACTTTACTTGTTACTGAAACATTTACTTGTTTCAACTCTTACTTGTGTTTTTACTCTTTGTATGTAAAAGTATTTTCCATTTTCTAAAAATAGAGTATTTTGCTGGTTACATTGAATCCGGCGCTTTTATTGGGACATCCTTTACATGATGCTTCTTAGGTAAATGAAAAGTAAAAGCCATTGCATGAAACGTGATGTTCGTGGTCCTGAGTGCCAGTGTCATATTAAAAAGAAACTAATTTTTCACTTTGAAATATCAAGAAAATTCAAGCAGTTAACTGTAAGTTATTCAACGATCATCAAGGATTTTCCAGCATTTCGAAACCGGAATTCCGCTTAACAAGAACATACTAATAATGTTGCAAAAATATAAAATTGAAATTGCAAGCTCTCATACGTTAAAAAGTTAATAAGCGTAGATTGTTTCCATCAAACAGAATACCTATTATAAGTAATGTTATTTCATAAATTCTTGATATTTAGAGGAATTCGAATAGAAATAAAATTATTGCAGTTTCATGTCGCTAGATTAAAAATATTTTTATAAGACTATAATGTATTGTCTCCTTCCTTTCCACGTGCCTTCGCGGTGTAACTGGAATTACACTCGACCCGCATTCGGGAGGTCCGTAGTTCGAACCCCGGTGAGGACACAGCACAGTTTTCACGTTCCTGCAACGATATAACCTAATGACTCTAAAAGACTTATACAAAAACGATATTATCTAATATATTCTTTTAAGAACTTCATGTTGAAAATGAAATCGAACTCAAAATTTGGAGTTAAATTTGGAATTCAGAATTACTCAAAATGCAGCCTATGGTAAACAGAAGGAAAGAACGTTTTGGTGCCCTCAGCATTACAAGATGAAATATATTCCTCATTTATTGCAAGAAGCTTTAGATAAAAATGATAAAAGGAATAATTATTTGGAATGCTAATATTGATATCAGTGGGTAAAATTTAAAGCATTTTTAGCTAAGAAATCAGCTCTTTCGTTTCCGCAGAATCCATGATAAACACGCACATAAGCAAAACGGACATCAGTTCTCCCATTTCTACGCGAACTAACAGCTAACAGAGTTTCGATTGCTAATTTGTCATTGCTGGCAATACTGTTCGAAAGGTGAAGAAAAGAAAGAGAATCAGAACATATAAAGTACCTTGAGGATGCTGTCCATTATCCTTTATCCACCTGACAACAAAGATTAATACAGAGAAGTTCTGCTTGAAAAACTGTGCATTCATTTCGAATACGGTGCTTAAAATAGCACACCTCAGACTGGTCTTCAAAAAGTACAAATGCTAGACTAATCTTATTATTCATTTTACCGCCATCTGTGAAGCAAACCATATGAAAACACTTTTCAATAGTCTCTTTACAATGGCAGAAATATATGGGCTTTAAAGTACATAGATAAGGAATATCGGGGAAGTGGACATTTCGATTTATGCAGTTTTCCGAAGTATCATTTTCCAATGCCTCAAAAATATTATTCTTATATTCAATTTCGAATATATATGCGAACTCCTTCAAGAACAAAAGTAACCTCATAACTTAGGGTTAATAATACCAAGAAATCTCCATTGAATCTTTCTCAGATTTCTTTTGTTAATCTTCTTTGCAAGAACATGTCTTCAAGCACGAAAGCCGTATGGGATGAAATATATAATACACTGTTTATGCAATCAGTTTCTTGACATCATAGCTTACTCCAAAAAGCATTTTAGGCAATTCGGCGGAAACCATTAATATTCTTTTTCACGTCTAGTAGAAAAAAAATCGATGTGCTTTTTCTATGTTAATTTTTGCTCAAGTACGACACCAAGATACAAACCACTTTCTACAAAATCTAACGGAAAACCATTGAACAAAAAGAGCAATAATTTATTCATCAAAATTCCTGGAAACAATCATAGCTTTACTTTTTCAAGGACTGAAAGTGAGTTTATGACAGATCGCGCAATTGGAGACAAAATTCAGCACTGCTTACTCTCAAAAGAATATTAGTCAAAATCTTTCATTGGAAAATTAAAATAAGTCTTTTGCAAAGGCAATTTTCAAACAACCGTCGAGATAACTTAAAAGATCATTTACTATTATGTTCCAAAGAGTAGGATCGGACACAGAGCCTTGAGGACAGCCTTTTCTAGAGAATAAACCTTATCTCAGACCTAAGCTGAGGTTCAGTGGTCCTTCAGTTTAAGATGCTTTTACTTTTTTAGGAATTTCTAAGGGAAACTGGTTCACAATCATGTTACACATGGAGAAAACCACGAAAGCCAAAAATGCAGCTAGTCAGTTCATCTCGATTGGAAACCTTCACACCCGGAATGAGGCTAAAAACGTTATTTTCTATGGAATAGTGGCTTGATATTCAACATAAAATTTAAAAAAAATCCACACATAGCATTTTTGACATACGACCTATTGCAGCAGTAGCAACAACGATGCGTAAGACCTATTGCAATACCAACAACAGTGTAACTAGCTTCTTTCAGACACAAAAAATAAATTAACCTAAAAAATGACAATGATAACACTGATCACTAAATTTTATAAAAACAACAAAAACAGTCTCGTTTACCTTACAGAAGAATGTGATAAATATATTAGGCTTCGTACTTTTTGTTAAGATTTGTCCAGAAAAATAACGCATTAAATCACATAAACTGATTTGCAAACGAAATTCAATTTCGAGTCACATCTGTTCTGCAAACGTAATAAAGATTATGGTTGAGAAGACGAAAGTAAATAAAAGACTTATACTTAATAAATTTAATCTGATGAAGGAATTTTATTAAAATGAGAATAATAACAGTTAAGCGGTTGCAGTCAAAAAATAAACACAATTCTTCCTTCACTTATGGGAGTTATTCTTCTCTTTTCTAATGCTTCATAATTCTTCTTTTACGAAGTTAATAATTTAAAACCTCAGCAGTTTTACTAATTGCATTAATTGAAATAAACTAAATGTATTCTTTCAAATAAGGCAATTAACTAATACAATCATCCTTGCGCTAATTAGAAATCAAACTGAAATAGTATTGTAGGGTTTCCCTTAGTTTGCAGAACAAATTATTTTAAGTTTGGTATCTTCTTGAACCTCTCTTTTTCCCCTCGCATTTTCTCATCAGGATGCAAATTTAAAGTCAAGTGAAGAGAGTATAAAAAATGACAAAACTTGAAGTTTATTCAGAGCGTGATTTCGCTAGCCGACGTAGATTACTGCTTTGTCCTTGCTACTGTTATGCTGAGTTGCTGATACGCCTTTTGGCCATTTAATTAATCTATTGACGGGTAGGTTCTTGAGTCAGCCTAGTTAGCTTTAAATTAAATTGTTAGTCCAGCAGTACTACTTATCTTTGAAGTTATTGTTAAATTATTTTTAAGTTCCCACCGCAAGTAGTCGGTGTTATTGTAAGCATGAAGTATGTGCATTTGTGTTGAGTGTTTGATGAATAATAAAGGGTTTGTTTTACTCGAGAAGTCGCCAGGTTTCCTCGTAAGATTACGTTAACTGTATGATAGCTAAGAAGGTTAGATCTTACAGTATTACCTGCATTTTTCGAAGAAACATTATTAACTACAGCTGTGGATAGAAATATAGCGATGTAGATGTAGATCTGGGTAGAAAACATCTTGATCCGTATCTGTAATAGAAAGAATTATTATTATTATTACATTATTACAACAAAACAATCTCTGCGCATTCAAATAAAATTGTGTTCATACATTTAGAAAAGAAATGTTACTAGTACTAAACATTTTTTATCAGTTACGCTATTTCATTATTACATTAAGAAATTATTACAAAAATTCTGAAATTTGAATAGAAACAAAAAAGACAATGCATAACAAGGAGTTACGTTTTACAGGAAAAAATTTCACCACTGTAGATGACAGAATGTAATTTACAGTTCAGTTTAATTCTTCATTTATTTGTTTCATATTCTTCATCACAGAAATTATCCTATTATATAGAAATAAAATTTAAAAAAAATAAAGAAATACAAAAGTGGACAGCTTTTTACTATCACGTTCAGAATGAGGGGGCGCAGTATAGAATGATTCAAAAATACGTTGCAAAAATGTAAATACATATAGAGAGGATGGAAATAAGCAAATTTCGAAATGGAATGTGTAAGCTGGAAATGGTGCATTGAAGTGGAAGAGGACGCTACTGAGTGACAGACGGAATTCTCATGCGAATTTTGAGTGGTATACATCGCTATACGAACGCGGAGCTCGTTTATACGCACTTTATCCAACAGACAGCACGGAAACAGAAGATACACTGGGATCGTTCAATTTACTTCCTATGAGTAGGTGCTGCATTTTAGCCCCAGTTCCATAGAAAAAATCTACTCGATGAGTTCCGTGTTCATGTAACAATGCACACCTCTCGAAATTTTCAAAGGGAATGACGATTTATATCACTAGAACGCTCTCATCTACCACTAAACAGTACTTCAAAAAACCACTTTAACGCGCCGTTTCTGCTCACGAATTCCATTACAAAATCTGCTTATTTCAGGCCCCTCTACCTGCTTCTACATTTTTCTATTTTAAGCATCCTTCACATGCTTTAATACATATTATATCAGCATACATAAAACATGCGCGGATGTAGATAAGAGTACATAACAGGATGTCGTGGATATATTTATTGGCTGTTGAGATCCATGATGAACAGCAAATTTGGCAGCAGAGGTAGATTAAGTATTCCTTTTTATTTCAATTGACATTTGCGACCACGATTTACTTGGCCCTTTAATCTTGTCTATTTCACATATTACATTTTTCATAGCTTTGTGGTAGATAAGCAGAGAAGGAGCAAGCGGCAGTCTATCTACGCCGAGCTGCAGACAGCAAGTGCGTAGTTATTCAGTATGGAAGAATATAAGGAGAAAAGTTTCGTTTTAAGGTCCGAATTAGCTACGTTATATTAAAGTCATATGATAGGATTCATCTAGAAATGACGCAATCCATAAAACGTTATGAATATTTTTAGAATAGAGATGGTAAGTACCCAAATTAAAATGAGGAATTACCAGGCTTTTACTAATTTTAGTTATAATTTTGATTAGTTATAATTTAGTTAGTTATTATTTTTATTTTATTTTAGTTAGTTATAATTTTGATTAGTTATAATTTAGTTAGTTATTAATTTTTAGTTTAGTTTAATTAGTTATTATTTTGATTAGTTATAATTTAGTTATAATTTTGATTTACATATATAAAACATATCCCATTTTCAAGGATACGCTTTGAAACATTTTACGAAACTCTGCAGCATGTTACGTCACACTTTCCCTGTGATTACTCTGCACTATGAAATCTTTTGACCAATTGCTGGGCAGGAATAAAACAAGACTTTCCGAGCCTACAAATACTACTGCAGTTAGTACGCATCACACTTTTGCAGCATGCTCTGAGTCACGTCTCACGAAACTTCTTTTTCTATTACCTAAAATGTAAACTGCATATATATATAAATTGGAGGCGCGTTTAGCATCCCTAGAGTTGTACCGGTTTAAGCAAAAATATATTTATGAAGAATTGCTCGTGACCAAAATAAAAGTTATGTTTTAACGATCAAGCCAATTGCGATTGTTTCTCCAGTCAGATCTACGCAGCAGTTTTTGCTGGCCATGGCTAAAAAGTGAATTGGTTTCATTATCCGCAAAAACTACATTATCGCACAGGCGATAATGATACACATATATGTATAATAAGGCGATATGATACACATATTATGTAGGCGATAATGATACACATATATGTATAATAAGGCGATATGATACACATATCCGATAAGGCGATATGATACACATATTATGTAGGCGATAATGATACACATATATGCATATACACTGCTGGCCATTAAAATTGTAACATCAGGAATAACTAATTTGACGAACGTCAAAATCACATGAAAGGAAGAAGAGCCTGGGATATGCAGATGATTAGTATTTCAGCACATTTAGACGACGCAGGAGGGAGAAACGACATCTGAACCATTGCATAAACGAAAAGTTGTGTAGTAGATTTCTCATTCGGAAAGTGCTTTGCAAGGTCAGAGTTTGCCCAGAATACCGTGTTTTGCCTCGAATAATAAGAAGAAATGCGTAATAGCAAGTGTCGGAATTCGATACAGGCAGGATCATTGCTTATCGAGAATGTGGATTATCGTTCCATGATATCGCTCGTCGCACGGGTCGAAATCTAACTACTGTCATGCGAATATGGAATCAATATGAATATGGTTGTTGAGGGTCATACTGAACGGCATGCAGAATTTCAACGCTCTCCCATGACTAACGCCCGAGAGGACAGGCATATTGTGAGGTTAGCCCTGCAAAGCTGTACAACCACACGGACCATTAGTCAGGAAATGGGCATGTTTGCAGCACACCCAGTATCCGCTCGTACGGTGAGTTGATGTTTGCAACAGCGTGGACTATGAGCACGGCGACCATTACTCCGGCTTCCCTTGACAATGCAGCATAGAGTGAGACAGTTGGTACGCCGAACGGCAAAACTGGATACAGGAGTGGCAAAATGTAATCTTTTCAGACATGTTCCAATTCTGTGAGCAGTATTCTGATGGTCGTATGCGTGTCTGGAGGTTCCGAGGAGACCGTACGTAGCCTGCTTACATTCGATACCGGCATAGAGGCCCTGCACCTGGTGTGATGGTTTGCGCAGCCGTTGGGTACACGACAGGCACATCTCTAATTCGGATCGACAGTAATTTGAACGCAGGTAGGTACATTTCTGACATCTTACGCCAAGTGGTTGTGCCCTATTTTCGAGGCCTACGAAACGCCATTTTTCAACAATATAATGCGAGATCACGTATTGCACGTCGTTTTTTGACCTTCCTCGATACACAGAGTATTCAGTTCATGGCCTTCATGGTCTCCAGATCTGTCACCCACTGTAAACATCTGGTCGAGGGTTGAGACTGGCCCGCCACCCCTCTCCAGCTAATACAGTTGATAAAGTGTGGCACAGACTTGAAGCAGCATTGAATGAGTTGCCCGTTTCTATCATCCAAGCCCAGTTCGAATCCATGCCTAACCGGGTAAGGCCCGTCTTAGCTGCCAGGATTTTTACTAATTTCGCACCCCATGTAACCCCCCAAACTGGTTAAAATTTAATCATTTCGTCTTCATGCCATACTGTTTACGTGCAATCTTTGTACTTGCTTTCCTTCGTGGTGTTGCAATTTTAATGTCCAGCAGTGTATATATACATAATTCAATGTTTCAATGTTTACAACAATTCCTAGCTTTAGTTTTTGGGAAAAAAATAATCTTTCTACTTTTAAATGCACTACAGCAATTAGCTTAGTGAATGGTATCTCACTAACTCAGATTTATTGCAAATAGTACTAGGAAATTTAAGAAGAATTTTGATATTATATTTACTAATCTACTTAAATTAATATGTAATATTATTTTTGAAAATTCCAATGCTGGAAGACACTACTGTTGGATTAATCTCTCAACTGTAATAATTTAAAAATCTAAAGGTTTACATTATCAACTGCTATGACTTTGAAAATCTGTATACATCTCTCCAACTTAAAGAAATCTAAGAAAGTTTTCTAGAACTTCCAATTTTTCCCCCTCAAATGCGTACTATACTAAATTTACAAAAATGGAAAGAATATCTGTATTTCTCGCTGTTTAGTAACTTTATCAAACATTCAAAAATTCTTTTGCTCCCAATTAATGGTACTCCCGGTTGAAATTCTTACTCGACACAGTTATGTAACCTGTATTTACTTACTAAAGAATACAAGTTTTTAAAAAAACTTTCAGAAAATGATTTCAGTAGATTCGCTCATACATTCAGGTATATAGATGATATAATTACATCTAACAATAATTATCTTATTGATACTAGCAATATCTATCCCGGCTGTTTAAAACTAAATAAGACCAATAAGAATCAATTAATTATAGATTACCTGGATCTATGTATTTTTAATATAAAAGAAGTAAAACTTTTTGATAAAAGATGAGAATTCAATTTTTCTACAATTAAACTTAAAATATGGAATATCAACATCTCTAAAAAGTTATTGCAAATACAATTTTTAATCAAATTACCCGAATTAAAAAAAGGTGCACCGAAATTGAACAATAACAGCAAGAAATTCTTCTTACTAAAATTTTGCTAGAAAATAAAATTCCAATTAACTCCTTAAACAGTCAACTTAAAAAACCTGGAGTGGTCTACAGCCTATAAATTTTTTAAAGTTTATGAAGTTTTTACCTGAAAGCTCAAATAAGAGAAGGATAAGGAAGGATGGATTAAAAGGATTTATAGTTTTATTTGTAAATATGTATCTACTGTACTATTTTTCTTGACTATTTTTTTATTAACTGAGGACCTACTTTATTCTAATTCGTGACGATAAGCTCATGACATAAAAATTTTATTCTTTTTTAAGATTTGCCCTATCTTTCCTTTCCTTTCTTGCATTACTTTAATGCTTTCCAATTTAAAATTAACTTTGAAAAAAACCTTACTGTAAACTCACCTTTTGGGATATTTATAATTTATCACCGCCATTTTCTTTGGCCAAAATTCAACCTGAGGCGTCTTCCCATTTTGAATCAGTTTTCTTTCTTTTGCA